GAGGCGGCGGCCTCCTGCCAGTCCGTGCCCCTCGAGCTCGGCGCAGTGGGCACTGGGGGCAGCTGGGGAGCTGCTATCTGGGTGTCGGTGAGTTCCAAAGCAGCATCCTTCCAGGGAAGGGGCGAGCTGGCTGTCCCCGAGCCGCCTGCCCTTGTGCCTGCTCCCCGGGGCTCACATTGCCCACTGTGCAGAGGGTGGCACAGTCCAGAAGCAGCCCCGAGGCCCAGGCTGCTGTCCACTCAGAGAGGGGCGGGCACTGTGGCCGACCCAGAGCCAGGCTAAGAGAGCTGGGGCCCCAGGTGCAGCCTCGAGCACACCTCCCCCTGTGGGCAGGGCAGGGGTCCTAGGACTGGCACTGGCCAGAGTGCTGGTGTGACGTGGCAGCCGGGCCCCTAGAGCCGGGGGAGGCACTAGCCCTCCACGAATCAGCACCAAGGGCTCCCCACTGCCCACATGGGCGGGACTGGGCACGCTCCCCAACTCTGCCTTGTGTTTGGAGATGGAGCCAGGCCTTCCCCAAGGGCCCGCCCCTCGGGAGCCATTTGGGAAGGGAGCGTGAGCTTTCCTCCCTTGGCCCACTCTGATCCGGACTCAGAGCATCTTCTGCATCCCGGCTGCGTGGAAGAGAGGCCGGCTCCCACTGCACACGCCTGGGGGAGAGCCACCACCTGGGCCCCACTCCGCTCCCTCTTCCGGGCATCCTGGGTGCTCCTGAGGTGCTCGGGCTACTTCTCCGATGTCCTTTAGGGCAGAGCACCCCCAGTCCCCAGCCCAGCACCCAAATACTTGTCGATGTAACCAATCATCTGAGGCCGCAGTGAGTCTCCGTGGCCCCGTTCATCACTCTGCTGCCCCAGCTCAGAGCTGCGGAACCTGAGGCCAGGCGGGGAGGTGTTCTCCCAGACGAGCCCGTGGAGCATTCCTGATGCCAGGACCCTTGTCCTCGCCACGGCTCCCTGCTGGCCTGTGTCCAGGGCTCTGAGCCAGCCTCCTCGGGAGGGGAACCTCCCTGGTCTAGCAGCCTGTGCCTCTGCCAGGGGCTCCCCACTTCCGCAGGCTGTTTGGCTGGAGGCTGGGGAAGCCCAAGACGAGCACCCTTCTGCAGTGTCGAAGCTGCGATGTCGATTCAGCTGGAGCCAGGAAAGCCCTGCAGCCTTGGTGGGGTCTCTGGCTCCAGTAGCCCAAGTAGCTGCTTTCTCCACGAAACCGCCTTCAGGAGACAGCATTCTGCGACCTCAGAATTCAGAGGCTGGGTCCTCAGTGCCACCTCCACCCCAGCCTGGACCCCTTTCCAGGGGCTGCGGCTGCGGCAGCAAGGCCCAGGCTGGGCCCTGGGGAGGCCGAGGGTAAGGAGTCTGTAAGGTGCAGGGGCTTCTGGGGCCAGCCTGGGCCAGGCCAGAGGGAAGGGCTGGAGACCCAGGGAGCAGAGGGAGAGGCTCCCCCTTCTGCCCTTCGTGGCCTGACCTCACACACACGTTCATTCAACAAGTCTTTAAGTGCCTGTTGGGCCAAGGCACTTCCCGAGGCAGCCCGCAGCTGGTCTCCCTGCCGCCCTGCCCGGCTGTGGAGTGCAGTTGCTCTTGCTGCCCCGCCCTGCCCTGCCCGAGAGGGCCCAGCTGCCCAGGCGCCTGCCGGGGATGCCCGCACCCCAACCCAGCGGCGGGACAGC